CTGTGAACGTTCGTGCGCGGAGTGTACTCTCTCTCTCTCTCTCATGTATACATGTACATGTACATGTACATGTATAGGCGTAAGTAGATGTCTATGTACACGTAAATGTACATGTATATGTACATGTACATGTTTTTTGCTTATGTGTATGTACTTGAATATGTATGTGCGTAAATAGATAGCTAGCTTAGGTAGGTAGGTAGGTAGGCAGGTAGGTAGGAAGGCAGGTAGGGAGGTAGGTAGATAGGGAGACACACATACACACGCACGCACATGCGATCTTTCCGCTACCTTTGTTGTCACTTGTGCCAGGACGGCGATGGCAGCATCTCGCGACGAGAGTTCGACAAGATGCTCACAAATCCCACGTGTGTCCGAACTCTGAATGAAGTTGGGGTCGACGTCTTTGCCTTGGTGGACTTGGCCGATTTCATCTTTGAGCAGAAGGATCACCTTGACTTCGCGGCATTCATGGATGTGGCTCGTGGCAGTATGATGTCTTGATAATTCAATCCTTGCCCAGTCCCCCTGGACTTCTTGGAGTAGTGCCTGTGCCAGACTTGCAGGCTGTTCTGCAGCTGAGAGGAAGCAATACTGCGACCGTAAAGGACCGCGGCACCAATTCATGTGAGTTCTGTGCCAGAAGCCCGTGGGTAGTGTCTGGAGAAGCTTTGTGACAAGTCGACGGCCGTAAACCCCTGCCAGGACATTGTAGATCTGCAGAAGCTCATCGTGAATCATTTCAAAGTGATGGAAGATGTAATTGCTGAGCTTGCCGGCAAAAGTGGCCAAACACCACCGATGCTTGCTTAGCCGGGCTTTGCATTGCCCGTCACATGCTGCTTAAATGGACGACATGCCGCACCTGGCTTTCTTCTCCCAATGCTGGGGGAATGTGTGTTTTGATAGGATGGCATGTCGTCACTGCATCTTTTCACTGGAGTCTTTAGCTGTTTCAGCGTGGGTGCAATGGTGCAGATCGTTTCGAACAGGTCAGGTTGGTCCGACTGAAGGCTCTGGCGACAATCTGAATTCGTATCTGCAAACAGCAGCATCCGAGATGCTGATGCATGGGGTTGCGGTGGCCGTTCGGAAGCTAGACCACCAGAGATGATAGTCTTTCAAGATCCTGATACTCCCCTTCTAGTCCTTTGGCGTCGTGTCGGATGCCGTCAGCGCAGCTCGCAATCGCGCAGGGGCCGAGCCTCTGGAAAAGTGTCAACTTATGTTTTCGCTTCTCTATCTCCTCTACCTCCGGCAGCAGTGAAAGCTGTGTTGTCTTTGAATTCGCAGCGACTCAGGTCCCGCAACCAAGCTGCGAGATCACGCGGAAAAAGAGGGCGGTTTGCCTCCCGCTTTCCATGGCTTCACTCTTGGAGTGTTGCAGACCAGCGCGGCGTCAGCTGCAGGACCCTACTCGTCCTCTGGAGATGGAGGTGTTTGGGACGAATGCTACCAAAATTGTGCAAGCCCCTGCCTACAGACAAAGCAGCTGACAGCTGAGTGTCGGTCTGTTGCTTTACCAAGGTGATTCGTTCCATCGCCGCACAAGCCGCCCTCGTTAGTGACCAGAGTACGAGGTCAGGCGACCCCAAGACCTGCTTGAGCACGGTGTAGGCAGATATAGGCAGGATGCGGAATGATGGAAGGCTGGCGGGTCGGCTTGTGTTGGCGGTGCGAAGGAGCAACTGTTCTGAGGCTCGGAGTGTTCGATATTCAAAGAATGCTGTCTCGAGAACGGTGGCCGACTACAGAGAGTGGTTTTGGGTCAGGACGCCGGAGATCGCCGCGGCCTGGAATTTCGAGTGCACGCTGTCCAGGGTGCGCACCCGGGCATCCGACTGCGAGCCGATAGTCGGACAGTCGGATGTCGCACCTTTGAAAGGCCTGCCTCCGGCTTGCAAGAGCGAGATCCGAGTGGCGTCCTCCTTGCCTGTTTTGCTTCGAAGGTCCGGGGCCTTTGGGTTTCGGAGTTCCAGGCGCGAGACCAACGTTGGCAAGCTGGCCGGAGCTATCGCCCAGAGGATCCGGGAAGACGGGGTGGCCCTGGCAGGGGCCCCACTCCAACATCCTGACAGACCCGAGCTCAAACCTCTTCTACTTGGTGCCCGCTAGGTGCGTGGCGCAGGCGCTGTGGCTCTGAAGCACCAGCTTAGTGCCGTCGCTATCGCGCCTGCTTCCCAGTGGAGTGCGCTTTTGGCGTCTTTGTCTTTGGACACCTTGTATCTGTAGGTCCGGCTACCTGGAAGAAAGGGATGAACTCGGTGGCTATGAATTGGTGGCTCTACCACGATACGAGGTGGGCTTCAGGGAAGCGACTGCTGCACTGCAAGCATTTTGTCGCAGGACCTGGTGGATCCTTCCGGCGGACGTGGGCAGATGTGGACGGAGTTTGCACTGACGGTCTACAGGCTCCCAGTCTCCTAGGTCTTGATCAACGGTGGGCTCCTTGCAACGATGGATCGGAACTCCAATTTCTATGGCCCTCTGTTGGACAAGAGGAGAGGACTGGACACCTGGCAGAAATCAGGTCAGCAGGATCTGCAATTTCGCAGAGAGGGTGTGCCTGAAGGCCGCAGCCGATGAGAAGACTGTCGGACTTGATGTCCATCGGCTCGTTGACGAACAACTTGCAGAAGAGCACCAGCAGAGTTGTCGATGGCTCTTCCAGTCGGTTCACGTAGGCAGAGCCTTCGAAAACTTCGACCACACTCCTCAGCAGTATGAAGCAGCTGCAAGGTGCGATTTAGTGGTTCTCGAAGCTGCGTCCACGGAACATGTCAACGATGCCCTTTCCGTGTATCAACCATATGCTCAGCAAATGTTGTTTGGAAACACACCCTGACGGAGAAGGCCCAGCCGGTAAAGGCAGATTCCCATGGGACGAGAGCAGAGAAGCTTGGCTCGGCTGTCGAGGTCTTGGAAGTATCTCGGCAACCTGACAAGCAGAAGCTGAGACACCCACGGTATGGGGACACATCGGGACATGCAGCTCTCCGCCGAGTATGACCACAACCTCCAATGACGCGAATACGTGAAGAGTCGTGCCGAGATCGCAGGTTTCTACATTACGGACCCTCGTAAACAAATGGAAGCTTTGCGCTAGATCTCCTTGCCACGTCTGGCCGCTTGAACGTGCCTTCTCAACATCTCAAGGTCGGGCTTGGACCGGTCGCCTTGGAAGGAAACTGCCTCAGAAGGTCAATCCAAAGTCGAATCGAAGCTCGGGCTCCAGACCTGTTCACATGAAGCCCGTGAATCACACCGATTTTTCTTCCAGAGGGTGCCAACATAGATTGGCGGCACTCCAATTTCATTTTTCGTTGCAGCAGCCCGAACCGGTCGAGTTGGTCCGAGCACTTTTGACACAAATTTGGTGTCAGGAGCCATGACCGCGATAGGGTCTCGCCGCTTCATTTAGCTAGGCGGCAGCAGCGACGGCAGCGGATCCCCACTCTCCCATTCTTGGAAAAAGATGTTCGCCATCAGATTTTCTCGGATGGATCTTCTGGGAAAACCTGCGTGGCCGCAGAAGTTCCGGGGCATACGAAATCTCATTGCGTTGCATGGGATGCACTTCGGGCAGAACAGCAGGCCAGAGCCTACGGTCCCTTCCCCTTGACGCCAAGAGCCTTCTCGGCTCGAGAAGCCGCCAGCGGAGGCATGGCCTCGGCCGCCTCGGCCGCCTCGGCCGCCTCGGCCTCGGCGGCTTCGGCGTCGGCCTCGGGTTTCGGGTCTTCGTCGGCTGCGCCTGGCGGCAGGATCCAGAACGTACGCAGCTGAGCGGGCCCAGGGAGGGCATCGGAGCGGACTTGCGTGAGCATGAGGTGCCGCCGGCAGCTATCGCCTTGCAAGCAAGTCTCGCTTCAAGCGATGCGGCTGCTTGCAATGCCCCACTCACGAACGTGAGGCACTTGCCGGGGCTTGCCGGTTCATGTTGATCATTCTCAATGATTATGTTTTGTTAGGGCGTGGGCCAACACGGCGGGTTTCATGTTTACGGATGCCTGGCTGCAATCGACCTCTCATGGCAGCATGCACGCCAACGGGTCTTTCTACTCCAGGCTCGACGTGCGAAGCCGAAACGAGACAGCTACTCAGGCATCCTGGTCCCACCTAGCCGTAGCCGCCCCAAAACCTGCTGTGATCCAGACTCGTCCTGTGCGAAGGCATCGTGGCCATGTTGGATGACTTCTTTCCCGTGAGTTGTGTCTTCTTCGCAATTCGCACGTTGCATGATGTCACGGCACAATTTCTGCGTCACTGTCTTCGAAGCGCCGAGGTGTTTTGAGGAAGCATGGCTGCTGGCCAAAGAAGAAGCGGCAAAGTGGATGATAGCACCTTGACGAGATGACACGCAGGGTGCTTGCAGCTGGAGATCCCGAAGGATGCGCGGCCCCTTGCACAAGCCGTGGCCTTCGCGGCCTTCGTGGCCTTCGCTTCGCCGAGCGGCACCGTGACATATCGCGACCCTGAAAGGGCACGAATTGTTGGACTGCACAATCTGAACCGTCTTGCGCAAGCGCCAGAAGAAGATCCCAAAGCCAGGGGTCCGATCATGGCTTGCATCATGGCTTGCTGTTCTTCGCTCGTGTGCTCCGTGACGGATTGCCGGACTTCAGCTGAGACGCTCACAAGGGGCAAGTCTGAGCTCCGTCTGAGCCTTTGGTGAAGAAAAAAGGCATTGAGAGGCCCTTCATCAAGAATCGTGCGAAGCCTCGTCATGCGCCATGCTTTGACGAGTTGACATTTTCCGTGGCTGTGTACTAACCTTCAAGCATGCTTCCGTGTGCAAGTTGCATCTTCTTAGAGACAGTTCTGCATGGTGCAAGTTCATAGGGCCATAGGGTAAAAAGGCAGTCCATTCATAGAGTGCCCCAGTACGAAAGGATGACGAGCCATGCTGGACGTGAAGGATCTCTTCTCGCCAAAGCGGCAGCGTTTGCTGCGTGGCGAACTTGAGCCCGAGGAGGTTTCGGGCATAGGCCTGCCCCTGTCCTGGCGCCGCTTCCCAGATCCTGCAGCTCGGTCCTTACTACAGAGTCAGGCCAACCGCGCTTGGGACGTGCTGGGCACTTGTGGAACGTCTTTGAAGAATTGCCAAAAGGACTTTTGCACGAGCCGAGATGTCTTGCGCCAGTGCCGCACGCAGCTAGAGGCTCACTTGGCCTGCAGCGCCGCGGTTTGTGACCTGCTTGCCGGGAGGTGGTCGGATCCCAAGGACGAGGATTGGGCATCCGACACGATTTCTTGTCGACCGCCGGCAGCATCGAGGCCACGGTACTGCGTGGGCCGTGTTCGGTGCTTCTTCTGCCGTCAGCGTGCCTCCTTGGAGCAAGAGGAGGGGGAGCTGGGACCAGGGAACGATGCATGGGACCTCGACTCTGCTGTGCTTGCCGACGTCAGCTGCACAGCCTCCTCGTCGGATGGATTCCACATCGACACAGAAGCAGGCGACAGAGACGACATGGGCCAGGAAGCGGAGGCGTCGCCGATAACGCGGCGGCGGAGGCGGCGGACGTCCCGAGAGCGGGGGCACCGGCGACTGTACAAGTTGAAGCGAATCCAGGCCGCCACAAGCATGCCGACCTGGTATGCCACCCACACTGTGGAGCCCGTGTCGGAGCCTCCGAAGCTGGCCCCGAGCTTGCGAGATCAAGGTCACAGCGAGCGCAGCATGCGCAGCATGCGCAGCATGCACAGCATGCGCAGCGGCAGCAGCGGGCGGTGCAGCCCGGTGAGTCGAGAGTCCAGTGGAAGGAAGGAGGCCTGGTCTGGGAGCGACTTGGCGCGTGTTGCACTCTTCTCTTTTGAATATGCCAGGTCCGGGAGCATCCGGTGGAGCAGAGGCGCCCTTGACGCTTCTCGGAGTCTCATGCTCTCACGCTCTGGTGAGGACTGAAAGGAGCGTGAGCAAGGCTGGAATACTGTGAACACGCGACATCTCGGAGTTTCTGTCCGCCGTTAATTTCAAGAGATCGAAGCTTGAAGGAGGTCCTTGAGGACGACGCTCCGCAACGAGAGCTTCCAAAAGAGGCCGATGCTGCAGAGCTGGAGCCATACACCACAGCCGCTGCAAGGCACGCGCGGAGGTTTCCGTTCCTGTCTTTCGAGTCGCCGGGTCTCTGAGCGACTCTTCTGTTTCAGGTTTCGCGCGGAGATGGAGTTCCTGGACATGCCTCGGGCTCGGAGCGACGAAGAGAGAGCTCTTGTTTTTTTTTTGGTCGGCTCCTTGAGGTCCAGCTTTCCTGGCAGCCCCGAAGTGCCCATGGTGTCCGCACCGCAGCTGTCCCGGTGATACTTCGGGCTGGGGCTGTTGTTTCGGAGCCAGGCACAAAAGCATGGGCCAAGATTCACCTGCGTGGCTCTTAGATGTCTTCGAATGCAGTGCAGTAGCCTAGTATATTAGCTTGCAGCACGGCCGTGACACCCAGGAGAGGGCTTTGCCTCGCCCGCCTACGCTCCTCGCAGACGTCGAGGTCGAGGCCTTCCTGCCCGCGGCTTCAAACCGAACACTAGTCCCATATTACCATGTCCTGTAAAAAACAACTTTTCTTCATGGTACCCTGCATAAAAGATCCTCATACTTCGCAGAATTTCGTAGATCTTGGCAAGGCATGGCAGCGGCTTGCGCCGCCGGCGCCGCCTCCCTCGGCCAGCCACGCACGGAAGCTTCTGCCTGAGCCTCAGTTCTGACAGTAGAAGAAATGCAATATATCGTAGAACATAATGTAATATAACAGGCAACATAATATACTATACTCTATTATAAATAAAGCACGACTGTGAATTTCCCTTGTCTTTTGTATCGTAGTTGAAGAAATCGTGTTAACCTCCGTAGTTTGAGAAGCTCATGTGCAGTGCCATGTATAGAGTCGTAGCCGCACCAGCATGTTTAGAGCGCCTGAAAGTAGCGTTGCATACTGCAGGCGCCTTGGGCTTGCAAGCAAAAACACATATTGTTTTCCGTGCTGTAACCCCGAAGCCGACATTCGTTCCAAATTGATCGCGGAGCGGTCGGATTACAGCGCTAGTGTTTCACCAAGAGTCCGTAGAGTAGAGCCCTAGATCTCCAGGGGTAGCTCGGGTGGAGCCGTGAGTGTTGTTGGGCTGAAGTTCTTGGCCGCCCAGTGGGGTCACAATGCTGCACCAGCAGAGACGAAGTCAGGCTCGTGTGTATTACCCTCAGTGCCTTAACGTGGCCTCGCGGAGTGTCAGCACTTGCTTTTCGCAGGCCTTCAGAATCCGCGACAGGGTTTTGCTCGAGCCTTCCAGCTCGAGCCGTGATGGGCCATGCCAGCCCCCAGGACCCCGAGGGATGGCGCGGGACCACCCTCCACGTGGGCGACTACGTGGAGTTCGCCTGCTATGACACCAGCCACTGCCGCCAGGGAGCCGTCCTCGCGAGGTTGGACCGCTTGAACGAGAAGACGCGGGATGGTAAGTGGGCTGAGGTGTCTTTCATCGCGGCGAGCGATGAACACTTGCGGTGGTGGCTCAATAATACAAGAGATGGGGCCGAGGACGCATGGCAGTTTGAGGTCCACTTCTGTCCCGGTTCCCAGCGCTCGTGCCGCCGGACCCGACGAGGCCGTGCTCGCGCATAGCCAGGTTCTGCGTGGTGACCGTGGGAGAGATGGCATTCCGGTCAAGAAATATGTGGAGGAGGAGCTGCAGCGGCTCTCGAATCTCCCCAAAGGGGAAGGAAGGAGACAAAGGCACCCCATATTAAGGTCCGAGGAGAATCCGGCGCTCCAGGCCTGGCAAAGCTAGAGCGAGAGCTTGCCAAGGCAAGAGGCAGCCTGACAGCTCCCCAAGTGGGAGGCTAGCGGATACGAGAAAGGAGAAGACGAAAGGGAGAAAAAAGAGACGAAAGGGTGATGATGTTGCCACCAACGGGCGAGCTACGAGCGCTCCGGCCAGAACGGGAGATCCTGGATGGTTTGGACAACCTGCCCGAGACGCAGAGGAAATCCGATTCAGCTCGACGGCCTCCAGCAGGTCGAGTTCGAGGAACAAAAAGAAGAAAGAAAAGGGAATCTAAAAAAGAAGGACCGCGGCCCTTTTGGAACCCCTTGCTAAGCTGGACTTCGGCATGGCGGATGCCGGCTCTGAGGACTCTTCCGAGGACAGCCAGCCTTTTCGCGAAGGCCCCCGCTCTGGAGTGCAGCTTCAGTTGCAGGAGTACGCCCTGAAGCGTCCAGGGTGCCTGGTTTCCAGACGGCGGCAGAAGATGCAGGTGATGGGGCGTACGCGGCAGCAATACGCGACCTTGAAGACTGCCTTCGACGAGATCGCAGCCTGTCGCTACCAGCACGCAGCGGAAGTCATCGCGCAGAGGCCCGCGACTTTCAGCGCGACGGGACGTGGAACCGAGCCCACTGCCTGGCACCCCTGGACGCTGAGGGGCCCAGCCTGTGCTGGGCCGCCTCGAGGCCGTGATGCGTCGACTGAGTGGGCCGGCGAGCTACGGATGCGGAAGCTCCAGTCCAAGGGCGGAGGCAAGGCTGCTCAGAAAGGAGAGCCGAGGACCAGGAGAAACGGGGATCACAAAGGCGGGAAGGACAACAAGAAAGGAAAGCCAGGAAAGGTGGTAGTAGTAGTAGTAGCAGTAGTGGTAGTAGCAATAGCAGTAGCAACAGTAGTAGTAGCAGCAGCAGCATCATCATTAACCATTGCAATCAGTAGTTGTATTAACAACACTGGTCACGCTATGATCTGGGTATGGTCAGGTTACGATCATGGTGTGTCTCTCAGCAACATTATACTTCGACGGTTTCCTGACTGAGGGGCTCCTGCTACCACGGCCTTGAACGTAAGCATCCTAGCATCTTGCAGTGCATGTTTCAACAGTTCGGTCCCGGATCTCCTCGCCTGGATGTCATCTAACTCTGGAAAGACATCGTTGAAGGCGTCGCAGTGTGGAACAACCAACCGGAAAAGCGCCAAATCGTGCGAGAAGTCTGCCTGTAACCGGCGGGATTTTTCTGAGCGTTACATGCTGCATAAGACGCATTGCCATGTGGAAACGCACACCGATGCATAGTTTGTGCTAAATGTTTGCTATATTTATTTTCGATAAACTGATACAGTGCACAGTCGCATGACACAGTCTCGGGTGTTCTCGTCTCACATAAAGCACTACGATGTCTGTTTAAGTATGCATCGCGAAGCCCAAACTTAGGATTTTCGCCGATTGCCTTATCATCATACGTACTCGAAAGATCAACGGAAATGGCAGTCAAAGTTGCAGTAATAAGTAATAGTAGTAGTAGTAGTAGTAGTAGTAGTAGTAGTAATAGTAATAGTAGTCGTAGTA